AGAATATAGCATTGACATGACTTGTGGAATATGTCTAGCCTCGGTCTTCGAGCCCCTTGTGCCAAATGGCACTGAAACGCATTATGGTACACGATTCGTGTATCAATGGTAAAATGTTTCTTTTGTCTTGAATATTGGATATCAGAAGCTCATCTATTCCTTGTAAGATCACAAGACCAATGCTGATTTGAATTGACAAATAATTCGTGTTTTCAATGTCGAAGATTTTAATGATATTGAGTTAGAGACTTAGCTACTTTAACAATAATTTTTGTAGATATGGAAAAAAAGATATTGATCACATAGAAATACCAACATTTTTTTTAAAGATATGGAATAAAGATGTTGATCACATAGAAATACCAAATTTATATTCCATAAATGGTAGATGTAGACATTAAACATACATTATGCAAGGGCTATATCTCCCTATTGCAGGACTTCCTTTAGGCCTGAAATGTTTTCTAAATTATTAATTAGACATTAATTAACTGATCCAAGGCCATAATCAACTCTCGATTGCTTCGGATTTCTCAGATATTAAATAGATTAGAACGGTTCAGCCATATTTTAATGGCTGCAATTATTGCAACATCTTGTCAAACCTTCAAAGGCTAATATCTTCTCTCGCAATAGAGTAATTGGAATGAAAATTTCAAATTATTCACTTTACATTATCTATTGTCGAACTATTATAGCAAGAATGGCTAGCTCTTTATCGAAATCTTACATACTGTATCTTTAAGTTAAAGATAAAAGTTACAAGTTTGTTTTTTATATGAAATTTTACAATTTTATAATAATCTACCGGAAATATACATAACAGGGATAAAGCATAACGTTTCCACGATATAATAACCATGAATGTAAGTGAATAAACAACAAACAACGCTTCAAAATTCATACGTTCATGGAAAAATCTTACCAATCGGTGCATAGATACGATAAGCATTCATTAAAAATCACAGAGAATATAAAATATGTGACTGGACAAAAATATTACTATATGATATATATGTCCAGACTGAAAAATCTCTGTTTAGACTGATATAATAAAATATCTGCAGTTTATAGGGAACTCTGTAAGATGCACATAAGTATATACCACTGTTTTATTTCGAACAAGTATAAAAACATTTCATTGGAGAGATTAAACATTATTGACATAGATTTATAATGATGTTTAGTTATTTTCGAAAGATATTTACTCGTGAAGTAAGGTTTGTTAAATAATCTCTTCAGTGTTTAATCAATTGTAACGGTGATTTTCCGAGTTGTTTGACTTGAACCGTGAATTTTAAATATGTTTTGTACTAGACAATGTAACGGCATATATATACATTTCGATAATTGCACTTTTATTAAAGTTCAAATGTTCGGGGTGCATATTCCATATGTCGTGAATGCGGCGAGGAAAATGATACATGCCTATTTTTTAAGTTTCATAATAAACCATCTAGAAACCTCAATTTAAAGCCGGAAATCAACTGTATCGCGTTATGGGGAATGGAAGTAATTGTATAAGGTATTAGACAGGGAAAGATTTGTCAATGAATGTCGATGAAGGGGAAATTTCCAAATAATGTTTAACCCGTTTCATATAAGTTGTGAATAAAAGGGGTAGCTTATTCCAAACCATATAGCTCATATTGTCTTGATCATCCCTATGTGCGTAAATAATCATCTAATAATAAATATAGCCTCATGCAACAGAATGACCATATGTTCAGATAGGGAAAAATGCCTCTTCAGACTAAAATATCTGCAGTTTTGCAGAACGACGAAGTCCAGTTAAGTTTATCCACGTAAAAGTAACTCCATCTCGACAAATAACGACACCCCAGTTTGAAAGGTATATTATTTGTGTGCTGGTGATATCAAATGGAAGTACTAAAATGGCTGAAGTATGTCGAATGTACAACCGTCTGTTATCAACACAAGGACGACAGGGTATTCCCTTATAGTAGTAAACCAAGCATCCATTTTTTTAAATGCAGTTAAGCC